AAGTTTATAAGTTTGGAGGAGACCTAGACGCTGTTACTGTGTTGAACCGATATACTCTGAATGGTTGCAAGTATGTTAATCTGTTGTGTCGACCAATCACTGTAGGCTCTTCCTCATTTGACAAGAATGCAAAACAATGAGTTTACAGACTTCGGACACAAGGAGTGTCTCAACAGTGTACAATGAAGATTTAGATGACAAGGGTACATTGAGAGATACTTTCATCTGCTCAAATGGGCAATGGAAACCGGTGGACTCTGATAAGATAGTAACATCAGTATCTTGTGTTTACGATGCGCCAAGTAACCGATTCCTTCTTTCATCTGAAATCTAATAAGATCCATTGTAGTCACGGACAATCCCGTTGTTACCACAACACCATCAGGTCGATCATTTTTGGATCGCTTATTTGCTTTTGATTTTTGGAAATGATCATAAAGCTTGCTTCTTGTTCATACTCTTTTTCATTTTTGAATTTCATTTTTTTCAGGAGTGATCACAACGACTAGAACACCAGGAAGTAAACACGAAACGAGATCTCGTTGACTCTAATTGTCTTCCATTTCTAGTTGATCCAAACAATCCATGTATGAATTGCTCTTATTTGGTTGTCACTCCTCCTAGTCCACGGGTAGAGGGATCTACCTTCATGGAACATTTCGTTGATCAGTGTCATACTGTGGAGATATACTGTACTTCTCGAATTGTATGTCATGTTTTTCTAGTATGATAATATTTTTTTCCCAGGATGGACAAGAAGCAGAGCTCATTTTTGAAAATACAGGAACTTCTCTATTTGGAGTGGGTATCAACAGAACCTTCACATGCAACAGAGATTCTGAATGGGTTGATACAACGACCAATGAAATTGTGGATAGCATATCATGTGCTATACGAGGTTGGAGTTATTTCAATAGCTTTTCACTCGAGCATTTCAGAGACTTCGGAAACTGATGAGACAACCATGGGAAGTACTGAAGAAACAAGTGAAACGAATACTGGAGAAACAGGTGAAACGACTGATCTCACTAGTGAGAGCGGTGGTACTTCTGCTCTGAGCACCGAAGGAACGGACGGGACAACCGATATCAGTACAACGGAAAGCGATGTAACTGATGACACAAGTGAAACCTCCGGACTCAGTACAGAAGGAACCACTGAAGGAAGTACAGCTGGAACAACTGGTGGAAACACTGAAGAAACTGGAGAGACAACTGGAGCCACAACAGTAGACACTACGCCTAGTGAAAGTACAAACGAAACGGGAGACACAACTCAGCCTAGTACTGATGGCACTTCAGATTCTAGCACAGACGAAACAGGTGGTACAAGTGATACTAGCACGGATAGTTCTACGGACGTGAATACTAGCGACACAGGAGGAACCACTGATTCTAGTACTGATGATACTGGAGGAACCACTGATTCTAGTACTGATGATACTGGAGGAACCACTGATTCCAGTACTGACGACACTGGAGGAACCACTGATTCTAGTACTGACGACACTGGAGGAACCACTGATTCTAGTACTGTTGACACTGGAGGAACCACTGATTCTAGTACTGAGAACACGGGAGAAACAACTGCTTCGAGCACAGGAGAAACAGGTGAAACCGGAGAAACTGGAGAAACTACAACAGAAGAAGCAGGAAGTACCAGTGAAGTCAATACTCAAGGCACTTCCGACTCTAGCTCTAGTGAGACAGGTGGAACTACCGAATCTAGCACAGAAGCAACTTCAGATTCGAGCACTGGAGATTCGGAAGGAACTACTGATTCTAACACGGCCGACACTACGGAAGTTAGTACTGACGAGACTGGAGAAACTACAGATATGAGTACAACAGGCACAGGTGGAACGAGTGAAACTAGTGACACATCTGACACAAGTGGAACAACTGATTCGGGCTCTACGTCGGATGTCACCGATGCGACATCCGGAGAAACGACTGAACCTAACACTGATTCAAGCACTATCGAAACAGAGGAAACGGAAGTGTCTAGTAGGACTACTACTGCCACTCGCTCTAGCAGCAGTACTACAGCAAGCACACCGTCTAGTACAAGCTCCACAGCTTCTACTCGTTCTAGTATAAGTTCCACAGCTTCTACTCGTTCTAGTACAAGTTCTACAGCTTCTACTCGTTCTAGCACAAGTTCTACGGCTTCTACTCGTTCTAGTACAAGTTCTACAGCTTCTACTCGTTCTAGTACAACTCCAGCTACCACTCGAGCTACAACACAGAACTGCGTGAAAACAACAAGAACAACGGCAGGTGAGTGTGACTTATCTAATTATGAATAGGCTAGCTATGCAACATGCTTTCTCCTCTCAAATTGCCTCACGTTTTAGATTGCACTGTTCTTAGCACAGATGCACATCAGACTGGTAAACTACTTATGATTTTTTATGTTTATTTTTCTATTAGAAGGGACTGAAGCTGTTACAGGCACACCATCATTGGCTACAGATGATTTCAGCACTAACGGTAGAGCACTCACACTTTGTTATAACTTTTGTCATCATCCAGAAGTCATGTCTTCATCAGATGAATCATCATCACATCTTACAACATCTCCTGCTGATACAGAATCATCTTACAGCACTCCTAGCGTTTTCGTTGACAGTTCATCTTCAGATATCACAGTAGAATCTACACATGCAATGAACACCACAGAAACACCAAGCTCCACACCAAGCTCAACACCTTTCACAAAGCCTTCTAATCCAACTACGTTTCCTCAGCTCACATATCCCACAAACATACCTTATCCGATTCCTCCAACATACCCTACTAACGCCCCATACCCAATTCCACCGACATATCCCACTAATGCTCCGTACCCAACACCTCCCACAAATGTACCTTATCCGATCCCTCCAACATACCCTACTAACGCCCCATACCCAGTTCCACCAACATATCCCACTAATGCTCCATATCCAGTATTTCCCGTATATCCAACGAACACCTCGTACCCAACACCCCCCACAAACATACCTTATCCGATTCCTCCAACATACCCCACTAACGCCCCATACCC